CAAGTTTGCTGCTGCCATTGTAGCAGAAAATGGAGTTCCTATTCACCAACCTATACGACTACTAGTACCTTTATCCGGCATTTTCAAAAACACCATCATGCACTTCCATCTACTAAAGAAAAGGAAAAACATTATTTAGGTGCCATAGGAGTAATGAAGCAGAAGCATGCAAGTGAAAGAACTGATGTGATACCATGGACCTTGAGTAGTGGTGCCCGAGCACCTAGTCAATCCTTTGATTACCATGTGTTCTGTAAGTTGTTAGTTTGTTTTATTGTCAATACTAATTCTTCATTTAATATTACAATGTCACAATCATTCCGTGACCTCCTTGAGTATTGTTATCCAAATACGAAAGCTGTTTCCAGTCAGACGCTTGCTCAAGATCTTCATCAGATGTACCACGAAATGCTACCTTCAGTCAAAATTCATTTGTTTAACCATACAAATAAAGGAGTGTCACAAACTGTGACTAAGCAAGGCAGATTTTACATAGCCGGAATTCCGAGCTATAGGTATGTTGGGATTTCACATGATGCACATTAGTGCGCCATAGGTTATTATGTTTACCTGTTCGTGACTCACAGTTATGAGTCACACGATGTTGTGATTTTTGCACATGACTCAATTTATGAGTCATGGGTTTCACTCAGGTAACACGAGTTGCGCACCTGACTTGGTTATTATGTTTTGATTGGTTTTAAGTATGTTGCGCAGTAACTCATAGGAATCGGCTGATGGATTTCACATGACTTATGGTTATGAGTCACAGGGTTCGTGTGACGCAAGGTATGAGTTACCCCAGGTGAAGAACTACTATATAAGGGATCCCTAGGACCCCGAAGTATTAGTTCTTCACATGTTCTTCTTGTTTATTTCCTACCTTTAAGTTTATTACAATAAAAACCTACCTTTACACTCTATAACATTTATCTTAAGAAACCCGAGAACTATCTTTCCTCCCAAGCGAGAAAACTATTTCTCCTCCCACGTCGAGTGACTAAGTCCTAAGTAAGGACTTAAGAAGATCAGAGGAATAGGCGCAATAAGATAGAAGTTAAAAGGACTTAGCTATCCACATCGCGCAGGCATCGGCCTAAGAACTATTACCTCAATACACATTAAGAATCATTACCTGTCGCACCCCTGCGCCTGTTAGGATTCTTAACAAGAAGGACGAATCAATTTAACACTCGACGCATAGACCTCATCAAACAGAATAGCTTACCTTGGAATTACTCGCCATTGGATGGATTCCGACTATGTCTTGCAAAATATAGTTCTTGTATTTAGTCGTCTTCAGGGTTCTCATACGGGAGAGAATCTTGCTAATACGGTTTATGAGACCCTTACCTTATATGGTATTGAATAGTCCTTAGGCTGTATTACAATGGATAATGCATCAGTCAATGACAAGCTATATAAGCAATTAGAGCAAAAATTGGATAGCTGTGGTCAAGGTTGGAAGCGAAAGAATGGACAAGTCAGATGTATGGCACATGTTCTAAATCTTACTGCACAAAAGATACTCTCAGTATTAAAGGCAGAGGCTACAATTCCCGAAGAGGTTTTGGCAGAAGCAGAGGGCCCTGGAATACCTCAAATGAGACCTGATGAGGAGACAGAATTACCCAATAGACTTGCAGTATCGCCAGCTTTACGAACAGCAAGACAAATTCTTTCCAAAATTCAGGCATCCAATGTTCTCAGTGAAGCCTTGGAACGAGAATGTCAAGCCAGATAATTGATCCCACTCAAGCCACTACTTGATATGAAAGTTTGGTATGTTTTCAAATCTCTTTTTTTTTTTTTCTTGTTTGATATTGACCAAGTTTATCAACTTCTATATATAATAAGACTACTTCCCAAACTAATATATCTAGATGGAATTCAACATATACGATACTCAAAAGATTACTATACCTCCGACCAGCAATTGACTGGCTTACCTTGTTTGAAGAAAAGCTTTCAGAGTTTACCTTAATGGAGTGTGACTGGAACATGCTTGTAAGTGTTAAAGACATTTTACATAGCTTCTATAACTTGACTACCCACCTAAGTGCAGTCCAGTATCCAACACTCTTCCTTCAGTTACCATACTATGAGCTTCTACTACAGTATTTTTGATACCTCTGGTCTGCAGAGAAGGACAAAAGCACCTCTACCAGTATCCTCTTCAAGGCTTGTGATGTGGGATTTAATATTTTGAATAGTTACTGAAACAAATCCGATAAACAAAGTACTTTGTCACTAGTACTCTTACTCAATCCACAATGTAAATCAACTACCCTGAAGTAGCTGGACTAGACCGACCGCCATATCAATAAGTCTATTCGTAAATTTTACCAAATTTACGATGAAAAATATGCACCATAAGGACCATCACGACCAACAACACCCAAGTGCATACTTGACTCAGAGAGCAAAATCGATGATCCCTTAACCGAATTGCTTAAGATGACCAAAGTCACTCCTATGCTATCCGAGGCAGATGCAATTTCTTCAGCTTCAAATCTAGCTGGTGATTCTGAGGCTACTATCTATTTGCCCAACCTTGTGAAGACCATAAAGTTAGTGTTGTACGTTGGTGGAAGGTCAATAGTCACAGATTTCCACATTTATCTTGTATAGCACGAGATTATCTTGCAATTCCAGCAAGTAGTGTTCCTTCGGAGCAACTCTTTTCCCGGTAATAGCTGTGTTTCTATTATTTTATTTATATTTATTTACTAATAAGTATTAATTGCAGTGCAGGTAACATTATTATGAAAAAGCTAAAAAAATCTGATGGGTCCTACAGCAGGTCCTACTTTGGTTCCGAAAAGCTGGCTGGGTTTACGAGAGGTGGAGGATTGGGAACTTAAGTTAGATGCGGAGGAGGAAATCCAGGTCGAGGAGGTTGGTAGACTTTTTCGTAAACATTCAGCTTGTACTTGAAGTTGTTTAATCTTTGTTTAACATTTGAAAATTTTATTCTCCACTCAAATCTATTGAATATTTCACCCGGGACTGTTAAGTTCTACCTTAGAGCACACAAGATCTGGTATTAATTAATATATTTAGGCTCGAGCCAGCTCAAGCTCTCCCCCACAAGCCTAAGGATGCCAGGCTCGAGCCCTAAGGTAAAGCTCGAGCAGCTCGATCGATCCTCTTTGCTCATCAGCCGAGCCAGCTCAAGCCCATGGTCAAGCTCGACTCGAGTCGGCTCGTGTTATACACTACTAATGTGGTCTCCCACAAATGATAAAGTATACGGTTAGGGTATATGTTTGAAGCAGTTGAATGAGATACGGATTATGGAACCAGGGCTTTGAAGGGATATCTATATAAGCATGTTCTTTCCCAGCCAGAACACATAGACCAATACATCTCCACTCTCATCTCATCTCCTCCCTCCACCAAAAGGTCTCGTCTTCGTTTCCCGACACGGTCAGCCTTCCACTACCATCGCATCTCCTGTTGCTCAACAGTTACTCGCGAGTAGTACACCAAATGAGAGAAAAACCCGGGTGTCGGAGCGCACGAATCCCACGGTCAATTCGGCTCTTATTACTTCCAAACAAGTTTTATAAGCAAAATAGGCGATATTAAGTGATATTAGTATAATACTAGGCAACGAGTGCAGGGCCGTGGTTACTACTGTATCATAGAACCAACCCGTATGCAGATAATTGGCAAGTGGAGTTGATGGGGATGATTTCGCGAGTACAGTACAACACAGCACCACCGGGTCCAAGGGTAAAGGGAGGGTAACTTAGTAGATCAGAATTGCAAGGGAGTATCATACCACTACCATTTAAAGGCCCCTTGGGTTATGGAAGCCAGGAGTTGGGAGAATGTCAACAGGGCCGAGAACTCTCTCGAAGCCGGGGGCACGCTAGGTGGTGAGGTTACTTCGGCACTATTACCGGCCAGGGCAGAGCCCCTTCCACTGCACTCCACAACTGCCTATCCATGGGCAGGAAATACTTGGGCCCTGTTCGGCATGTACTATTTTAGAAAAACCATGGTATTTCTTGAAAATAGCTTATAAGCTGAAATGGAAATAATAATTATGGTCTTTCAGAAAATAAAGGCATTTTGCAGTCCATGTATTTTTAATAAGAGTTTTTTTATTCTGGGAGAACTTTATCAGATTCTTGTACAGTAATCAGACATCAGCCTTAGGAGTTGTTCCATGGGCAGAGAATAAAATCTTTCTCCAAGTAAAAGTACCTGTTATATGCCCCAGTCTCTATATCCATTCAGTCAATCAGATAATTACTGACATGAAATCAACAAATACTAAAGTGCAATCATGAATATCTAGGATCTAAATTATGTTCTCCTATCTACAATTTATACAAGAGGTGAAGACAAGTAATTACTGGCAAAATTTATCTAAGGTTAGCCAAGCAAATATATTCTCATCTATTCTGCATAATTGTTTCTTACAATATTATTATAATAATATTATTATCTTCCTTTTTTCATTTTATCCTAAACCCTAGTTGGATATTACAAAATACTCCATTATAGAAATACCATAGTATTTTTATAAAAATACTATGGTATTTGTAGCATGCCAAACACCCTGCCGATTCATTTTAATAAAACCATGAAAAAAATACCATAAAACAAAAACACCATGGTATTTATGGCATGCCGAACAGGGCCTTAACCAAAAGAACCCTCCACAGAGAAAAACCACCGCACACGAGTCGTAGCCACCTCGCGCATCGCCCACGTACCTATCCAACCTCAGTTTTCCCTGTCCCATACCATCTGTAAAGCGAACAAACAATCAGTATCACGAAAAAAAACCATCCCTGCCACACCCGGACAAAACAACGTAACCCAAAGGCTTTTCAGAAAAACATATTAAACTGCATATCTCGTCTTTGTCCAAGCGTCAAAGACCTCGAACTCCGTCTAAGGATGACGGTGCAAATGTCTCATCAATAAAGTCCCTTCCTCTCTCCCCTTTCCCTCCTCCATAAATCGTGAGAAAAAACAAAAACCTACCAATCACCCTTCTCAATAGCCGGCCACAAAAAGTTCTTTCCAGTCCCAACATCCACCGTCTCAATGACCCTAGGAACAGCCCGCTCTTCGGTGGCCTGCTTATCCCACCCATGCGAGGATGCCCACACCGCTGCTTGAAGACGGGACTTCATGCGGTCGAGTTCCGTGATTTCCCCCACTTCCTCCGGTCCGGCCGATGTTCGTATTAATGTGTCCCCGTCCATAGGCTGGGTTTGTTCGTCGCGCTGGGCACGGCGGTCTTTGGCGGCTTGCTTTTTTGCGGCAGCACGGCGGCGCTTTCCTAGGCAGTGTCAGCAAAGAAGAGTGCTATAAGGGAGGGGAGGGGAGGCAACTAAGGAGGGATTGGATTTCTGAAAAACGAAACATGTCGACTTGGGTGGAGGTTAGGGTGCGTTTTGTGCCATCGGGGTAGTAACCGAGGCCATCTTCTCCCTCTACTTGGTCTTCGGAGAGTTGTTCGGGTTCATGTTCAGGCTGGTTTTCTGAGATCTGGGGTTGAGATTGAAGGAAGGTGCGCGTGAAGTGCTCGTGGAGATCTAACGATAGATGGGCTTCGTGAAAGTTACTGAGATCTTGCTGAAGAATGTTAACTCACCTGCCCGCAACATTAACAGGAGAGGGCCTTACTGGAGTAATAGTCGGAATCTCGAAGGTGGACGCCATAACACCCGATGTGATGAGTTGAGGGAGTGAAAGAGCTCCAAGGGGAAACCTTTGAATGTGTCGCCAGCACCACGTGACCCCTCAACCTTCAAAACTCAGACTCGCCGCAGCTCCAACATCTAGCATCCAGCCCTCGAAGCTCCAAAGCTCCGAGCCAATAAATCCGCTGCGAAACCAACATAATGTCCGTCCCCTCCACTCCTGCCATCTCGGTAGACTCCACCCACGCCGTCTCCCCACGCCTCCAATCCCCGGACTCCCGCTCCTCCTCGCGGCGCGTCTCCCTCGATGTGCCCTCCCAGCAATCACTAAACCCGCACAGTCCCAAACCCCGACGCAACCGCTCCGCACTCCGGCAGTTCTACGGCCTTGGACAGGAGCCCCCGTTACCAGAGGAGGAGGGCCCTGAGAGGAAAAAGGTCGAAGAGAAGCTCAACGAGATCGACCGCGAAGGGTTCGACGCAGCGGCTTACGTCGAGAAGTTTATCGCAAAGGCGGAGCTGAAGGAGTTGTTGAGGAGGGAGAATGAGCTTGTTAATGGTTGGTTTCCCCTCCTTATCTCCCTCTAGCAAGGTCGGCTACTAAATCTGGGGGGACAGAAATACGCGGCTTCGACGGCGAGCGAAAAGCTCTCGTTTACGACAACTACAGTAAATTGATAACCGCAACAGATACTATTCGGAAAATGAGGGCTAATATGGAGCCCCTGGCGCCGACTACTTCCACCCTCAGCCCTGCAATATCCCATATCGCGCAGGTGTCTGCTTCCCTAGTGGAGAACATCCCGCCTTCGCCGGTCACGCCGAAGATCCCTACTTCTAACAAGAGGAAGAAAGACGCTGTCGTTTGGGCCCTGGCGTGCCCGGGCAGGATTGAGGAGCTGGTGAAGGAGGGGAGGAGGGATGAGGCCGAGAGGGTTTTTGGTGTGCTGGACGGGATGCTGGGGAAATGGAAGGGGGCCAAGGGCGCCAAAGAGTTAAGGGAGAGGGCGACGGCCGCGTTGGGGAAGGAGGAGCGATAGGGCTGGGTATTACTCGAAGCAGATCCTGGCGTTATTCGCTAAAGCGGTCTCACTCATCACATCAGGTTTGATAGACTTTGGGACGGTGTTTTTCCATCTTTTGATGCATCGTGGATGATTGGAGTTTGGGCTTGGATAAGATCATTTAGATAGAGATGGTAAGTAGCGATACAGATCTCTAGGCATTAACGAAGGAGATAGTCGAGCCCCCTGTCCGGTCAAGAGACCAGTAGGGTTTAAGCACTTCCGCAAGCGTCTAGCAAAGTTACCGAGAGATCAAGATCCTCCCGGGCTGCGTGTATGATAAGTACGATACCTATTTCAATAGAATCCATTGAATTACCACAAGAAGCTTTACCCCCTCAGATCCTTCAAAAGTTCATGTCCAGGACCCAAAAAACCGCCGCCAACATGTGAAGACAGGCATCACTCGAGACAGAGCGTCATCAGATATCACGCAACACCCCATGCCCTAATTCCGGAGGCGCAATCATGTGTACCCAAGCCCCCGAATATCCCCACATCCGACCCTATCAAGGCGCGAAAGGGTTAACTGTTGAAAAAAAGAGAAGAAAAGAAAAGCCCTATGTACGCTCCAAACCCCTCCTCGAGAATGAAAGAAAAAGCTGAGTAGAGAATCCTCAATCGTACACTCCCACCCCCACCACCTACTCAATGGATTCCTCCAACCAGCCAACCAGAGTATAAACTTAAGCCCCATCCCCCCAAATCCCCACAACCCCCATAGCAAAGCCAAAAGCTACCAATCCCCCCCTAACAAGACCCCAAACCCTCCAAGCCTCCATCCCACCCTTCACCACTTCGCCATTAACATCTACACTTTCACCGCCCCTCTTCTTCCGAGTCTGTACATTAACAACGCCAATCTCCACGCCCACCATGCGGCTCTTCTCCAGCGCGACACCGAGAACGGGCATTAATCCCGTAAAGATGAGGTATCCGTGTCGGCCCCTACGCCCGCCAAAGAGGAAGGCCGTGAAGAGCGAGGCTGTTGCAGCGATCTCCAATGGCCGGACGACCTGTCTTAGCTTTCCCAAAGAGATGGAGAAGGCGCGTTGTGCAGTGTTGGCAGAAGGGAGAGAAAGGATTGCGTCGAGAGTTGCGGTGGAGAAGTTTAGGTGGACGCCCTGCAGAAACAGAACGGTCAGCTCTCGAAGGGGGGGGGAGGAGGGGGAAAGGGTTACCGAGAGGATCCCAAGGGAGAAAACCCCAGTGAACTTCAGGAGGGATACAAACGCTGGCATTCTGTTCTCGCTTACCGATTCTTGCTTGTCGACCGGTTTGTCTGCGGGGCTTGTAGAACAGTTGACTGTTGGTGGTGATGGGTTGTTTTTCTGGAGGTGAGGTGGTTGCCGCTGGGTTATCTGGTGGGGGTTTTGTGGCTAGGTTGTGTGGCTGGTATCATAGGTCCATTGTTCGGATGAGGTATTATGCACGTGATATGTCGCAGGGGAGATATATACCGGTATTAGGAATTGGCTTTGGTATCACAAAGCCGCTCTCATCCCTCTCCAAGCACTACCGTAGACTACTAGCCCTTTGAAACGCTTCGCCAGTCCCCTCATCCGATTATTCAATAAGAAACGAATCACTAAACGCCTACAATGCCCCCAGAGACAATTATCTAAAAGGCCTTTGTTCTGTTGTCGCAGATAGATAGTTCCCGGGGCACAAGGGAGCGCACTAAACAGGAACTCCACGGGTACATCTGTACCCGACTAAGCACCCCTGGAGTACCAGTACCGTACTCGTACACTACCGGTATCATGCCCGTATCATACAACAGTCGCATTTGGGAAGGATCCCATGGCAGCAAGCAGATTAAAACCCAAAGCTAAAAGGCTACCTGTAAAAGAAATCAACACATAGGTAATCCGTGTCGACCACATAATGCATAACAAAATAGTGGGGCTTGGGTAGAATACCGGTAACCTCAAAGGCGACCATACATGGGCAATTCCAAATTCTTTCCACCCCCGAGAACATTTTTGAATCTAAAACTGCAAGGCATAGAGGAAGCGTCTCTCAAGCACTCCCATAAAGCCACACACCCCTAAAGATATGGCCGTGGGGATTTCTAAAAAATAAAAATAAAAAAACCATTCCTCCAGCCTTTGGTTGATTTCAAGCGCACCATGCTCATTAGGGTAGGTTTGTGTCCGAGGAACGGAGCTTTCGTTCACCCCCCTGATCTCAAAACTACCCGAGTAGTGAAACAAAGGCCCCATGGCCCCATTGCCCGAGTGTGTATCCAACTTCAGAGTAGAACAATGCTGGTGTGTTTGTGTGATAGCAGCTGGGTTCCAGACATTGTGTCTTATCCCACGAGGACCACCCCAGCACATTTATGAAGCTCCAAGTTCGGTGCCCCGAGCAGACATGAGACTTTTTTCACACGTTTGCGGCGTTGAACTACAACACGCTCCGAGCCCCCCAGATAGGAAAGCCTCTAACCCCAGAGAATTGCCACCCTTATACCATCTCCCTAGATACAAGTAAATGCCATACCTGAGTGGGCATCCTAAGTATTCCCTTGAAATTCACTCATCATACCTTCCAACAGAAACCGCATACCCATAATAGAAGTACCAAAGGCAAATTGAAAGCAAGACATGCCCACTACGGTAATCTACCGCATCCTAAACAGCCATCCCAAAACCTACATGTAGTCCAACCCAGAAACTCCGAGGTCACCCTCCCCCGATCATCCAACAACTATCGCTCCCTCCTAGGCAAGATCGAACCCCCTGGGCCTGGCATAAGCGACTAACGACGGTCAGTTAAACTCTGAAAACAATTAGAAAGAGCCTCACCTCAGCCGCACTCCCGACTGCTGTCGCTTCCCTCCCCGTATCAAGTTGCTGCTCTTCTACAATGGCAACAGCAAATGGTACCCCAAGCACAAGAGCACTAGTCCCCACTACCCAAAGTACGCTCCCACCAAACTTCAACCCGCCACGAAGAACCATATGGGCCTTCCCAAAAGCATCCACAATTCGTGCCCGTTGATGAAGCGGTATCATGTCTTTCAAAGCAACGATGCGGTCGTATAGAGACTCATCGTAGTCATCGTCCCCATCCTCATCCTCCTCGTCGGAACCCACCTCTGAGGAGGGGGATGAATGCGGGTAGTCGTAACCATCGTAAGCGTAGTTCAGGCCTGGCCTCTGCTCACTAAAGTACTGATCTCCGAACTCTCTGATGTGAACCATTTTGAGGGGTCTGACGATGGAGGATAATATACTACTCTGTCCGGCGGATATTCAGGGCGAGGTACTGTACAGTACAATGCAGGCTATAATGGGCAATGCGGGACACGCTTTCATTACTTAATCTCCTCTCTGATGGCGAATCAGAGTCCGGCACGAGTGCGTCCCGCGTGGCCAACCGGAGAAGAAGAAAAAAATTGCCCACTACAAATTACTTATGGTGTGCTCTCTTCCAATTGAAGTGAAAACGAGTCGCCACGTTTGTTATTGGATCACTTCCTGGACCACCGGTTCCACGAATTCGAGTGATTAATTGTGATTTGCCCTATTGACTCTTGAGACACTTAACCCCGAGATCTAGTAGGCAGCCAGGGTAGGCTAAGAAAGGGAGAGAATCAATACAAATGGCAAAATCCCATAGTGTGGGTATCATGTAGAAGAGATCGCCGCATTGCAAGTGCTCCCCGTGGGCCTTCGTGGCGAAGAACGGGGACCTCGTAGTAATCCAGGCAGCCCGAGGTAGTTTAAGGGAAAGAAAACCCTCCTGTATTAGCTGGGGGGGTTGTGTGTGTAGGATCTCATTCACAGTGCTGTAGCACCAGCATGTGTTTAGCACTCATCAGAGCCGGCAACTCCTGGTAGATCGTACCTGGGATCACATTGTCCAATTTAAGCCTACTCAGGCCGATATAATACCACAACCGCTCGAGCGTCAGGCCTCTATAGAATCCTCTATTTCTACCACCACCCTTAGCGGCCAAAGTAATATGTTAGTTAAATCCCATAGTTGTCTCCGTATCTTTTTTATCTAGCTCTTTAGTACTAAGTGACAACCGAGACATCAATACGATACGGCATACCTAGCCCTCGTCGGACTATTCAGAAGTTTCTCGCGGTCATTTCCTCTGGGAAAGTAATTATCCGAAGCTCATCCAAACATCGGGACTTAGCCCTGCCAAAACAAGGTTTTCCATAGAAAGCGGGGACCTGCATGGCCACATTTCGTGCTCCCGCTCGGAGATTATAAGTCGAAGCGCGAATCTGAGCTCATATACCGTATCGATTCTTGATGCCACAAGCCGTGTCTCCCTGCCGACAAATATTTGCTACATTCAGAATGATAACCTTTGTCCGGGATGCTTTCTTTTTTTTCTTTTTTCTGGAGATCGGATGCTCTGCACCACACATCTAAAAAAACACCCGCACTCCTGACCGCGGGCACCCTGCTAGCATATAGCACAAAACCCCCAAACCAGCGCCTCCCCACAAGGCCATCTGCTAGTACTCGTACAGTACGAGTACCGTACCCTTCGACTCAGTCTTCTCCCCAAACCCAATCATTGAACCCACCACCCCCTTCCAGCTCTACAATTGGTGGCAGCTCTCACACCCCGAGCAAGACCAGTGCTACTTCACACGCACAATGCTCGAGTCCAGCACATCGCAATCGCACAACCTCCAGTACTTCCGTGTCCTAGAAGCCACCAGCATGGAAGGCATTATGATACTCGAGTATCGGTACACCACACAGGCATCCCACTCAAGCATAACTTTGGCCCCACAATACCGGTTAGAGCGGCCCGTATAGTACCCGAACCCTCGATACTCGGGCTCATTTGGAAACCCTGCCAGCGTTCGTGTCCTTTCACGCATTTCCGTTGCAATGCCGGTAAGTTAGCGTGCCCTCTACAAAGGCTTGCATTCTTGGCGAGCTTGGCAGAGATTCTTATGCGGGTGATTTTTTGTGATGGAGGATTGCCGTGATGGTGTCGTAGTCAGGCACAGCGGTGAAAAATTTCCAACCCCGCGATATAATAATAATCAAACTGACCTGTTTACTGACAGGGAGATTGGTGGGTGGGTTCTGTGGCAAACTTCTCTCCCATCGGGGCAAGCTGTCGTACCGTACCGTATTAGGCGGTTGGATGCGGCTTAGAAGACATCGAAGTCGCCTGAGCTTGTTACATGTTAAGTTAGGCTGTTGGGATGCGGCGGCAGCGATTCCGAAGGAGATACCAGCGAAGCCGCATCCGGGGCGTGGCGAGGTGCCGACTACAGTACAGTAGCATTGCCCATATCCCCAGAGACAAGTTTCATTTGAGAAACTCGCATAGCGGTGCTGGTACGTGACCCATCTAAACTCACGATAATTGAGACAGCCTCCCTCTCCAGTTTATGTAGTACCGGTGTCGGCACGCTCCCAAGGGAGCTGCTCAACACCCGCGGTAGACTGACTCAGGAGCTTAAGCCCTGAGGAAATTTTGTCATCCACTGATGCAGCATGACACGAATCCTCAAGTTTTTCCTTTCCCTCCCTGAATCACAATTGCCTTTCACGCCATACCGGTAGTATGGTAGCGGGATCCGATTGAAAAGTAAGGTAGATGCTGGTGGTCGTGTGAGTGTTAGGAGAATTGGGACTTGGTGGTGCAGTAGTGCGGGCAAATGGCCCGGGAGGGAAACAAAAGTGGGTGAGGCCGGGAGATGGTTGTCGGCTTTTTTTGTTTTGTTTATCACTGAGTTCTTGTGTTGGCAACTGAAGGTGAGGAATGAAATAACCAGGAAGGGGCACTGCACTGGTGCCTGCACTCTCTCTCTCTCGGAAGTCCACATATTGCTCCTCTGAGCCGTACCAGCGATGGCGAAGCATTTTCCTCTACCGACAGGGTGTGATACGGTGCTGTACAGTGCTTGCGCTTTTTTTTGCGTCCGGGGCCAAATGGTGTCGCGTGGTTCCAAAGACAGCTACTGTATGAACTGATAACGCAACTCGAGGAGCGATATTTGCTAGGCTTGGAAGGAAGGGCAGCATGAAACTCTTTCTTTCTTTTTTCCTCTACCCGAGTATCCCCCGTGATTTTTCGGGATGAAATGCACCACGGTCCCCGGTACTTCTCAGAACCATAAAAGTACTCGGGTATCATACGGTACGGTACTCGTACAGTACACTTGTCCACAGCAGTGCACCAAAACATGCTCGCCCACGGTACATAGAATTTGCACTCCTGTCCCCGGGAATGCCGGGTCAAACTGACTACCGGTATTTGTGCGGCAGTTTCCCTACCGGTTCCGATACCCCATGATGGAACAAAGGATACGGGTAGGCTATGAGCGATACTGCATCACGCTCGTACTTTACAAGTACGGTATATCGGCACCGTTGCTCGCATACCGGTAGTACCGTACGGCACCGGTGTTCGTGGCTTCTGGATACCGTACTCGATTCCGTAAATTGGCCACTCTTCCCGGTTTGTGTTTGTGACACCCATCATAATCAGATGGCGAAAAAACATCTGCGAGGCTGGGATCCCAATGGTTGTCCCCGGCAGTCGATCTGCAGGACCGGAGACCCCACAGAAAAGAAAAAAAAGTTGTTGAGCCTCGCCACTGCACGCCGATGCAAGCACACCGGTACAGGTACTTGTACAGTACTCGTACAGTGGGAAAGAAGTGTGAAAAAGCAAATTACAGTAACATCAGGATCAGGGATCCCTAATCTCCAGCATCGATCTATCCACCACCCAACGCTAGCCACAGCGTCAACAAACTCACGGCCCATTCTGAAATGCGCGGGAAGAGGCACATGTCATCCGGCACCCCTTAGAGGGCAGGCACGAGACATTCCCTTCTTCTTCCATTACCGTACCCAATCTCTCTGCTTTTGCATTCCATCTCTCCCTCTCCCTCCCCCTTCTTCCCCTTCCCCTTCCCCTTCCCCTTCTTCCCTTCCTCCCCCTCCTCCTCCCCTTCTCCCCTTTCCCTCCCCACCTCCGCCCTACTGCCTACTTCCCCAGCTTCACCTAACCCATCACTGCCACCATCTACAGTACTGCTGTTCGGGTCCCAATCTCTCGCGACAATTTCCGGGACACATTGCGCTGCAAACTCTACCGTAGAACCTCAATCCCGCCCCCTCACACTCTACTTTACTTGTCAGTGCCCCCGTGTGAGCCACCCCACAACGTGATCCCACCACCCTGAACATGTCCACCAAGCCATCATCCATAATTACCGCCTCGAAAATAGATGGGCTCCCGAACATCCCGCTATCGTACAGTGTAGCGAATTCTCAAGCCTCCGCCTCACAGCTAATATATTCCCTTTTCCCCGAGTGGGCCCCGGCGAGAGGAGGCCGCGGATTGAAGTTCGTGAGGTTTACCGACGGGATTACGAATACTGTGGGTGTCCGAGTCGTTGATTTCTTTCCCAGTTTATCCCTCAATGGGGGTACCGTTATTCTAACCGTTTTGGGGCCCCTGTGACTGTCTATCTCTCCTCTCACCAAGAAATGTGGGATCTCGGGATAGCCCTCCCCCCAATCCTTGCTTCCCACAGGTTTCAATGCAGCTTCAATTGCTCATCCCACAGCTTGTTAGTTGTGCCGGTGCTGACCATTTCCACCTAGCTTCTCAAATGCTTTCACAACCCACCCGAGGGAATTGCCTCGCCCGAAGCTAGAAGAATCGAGGACGACGAGTCTGTTCTCTTGCGTGCCTATGGAAGAGATACGAGCATTCTAATTGACCGTGAACGTTGGTTTCCCATCCCCGGAGACAGCACCCAGGGCTCGGCGACTGACTCATGCTCACTTAGGCGAATGTGCTTCCCATCTTTTACTCTCCCGCTTCAACCTTGCACCCGAGCTTCTCGCTCGATTCGCCAACGGCCTTCTCTATCGTTACGTACCCGGGCGTGTTTGCTCTGTTCAGGAGTTAGCGGACCCCGCCACCTCCAAAGCTATCGCAACACGCTTGGGGGAATGGCATGGCGTACTTCCCACAAGCACTACACCTCCACCCTCTCCTGCATCCTCTTCCTCCGCCTCTTCTAGCGAACCCGATGTCACCTTGTGGACCGTTCTTCAGAAATGGATTTTCGCAATTCCCAGCGAGACGGACGAGGGTAAGGCTAGGAAAGAATCATTGCAAGAGGAGTACGAAAAGCTTCTTGCTGGCACTGATGATGGTGGATATGGCCTGAAAGGCCTAGACGGAGGTGTTGGCTTGGTTATGGGGCACTGCGACCTACTGAGCGGCAACGTTATCATACTCCCCCAGGAAGGTGGGCTCTCACCCCCCCCCGACGCGGCCAGGCGGGTCCATTTCATTGACTATGAGTGAGTGCGCCATCCCCTGCCAAATATCAGGCAACACCTTGATTGATCAATGCTTCTAGGTACTCTGCTCCCTGCGAGCGTGCCTTCGAACTTGCGAACCACTTTTCGGAATGGGGCGGATTCGAGTGTGATTATAACCGCTTGCCTACCCGGTCTGCCCGCCGCGAGTTTATTAGCGCATATCTCAGTAGCTTTGAGTTGCACCGCTCCGGTGCAACAGCAGCGGCCATTAGTACCGGTCAGATCGACGATCTCATGAATGAGGTTGAACTATTCAGAGGCCTCCCGGGCTTCTACTGGTAAGGAGTTTGACAGCTAATTGTGAATGTGATGAACACTAAACTAAGGGAATACAGGGGCGTCTGGGCACTCATCCAAGCCACTATCAGTCAAATCGATTTTGACTATGCATCTTACGCAGAGGTCCGCCTAGCTGAATATTGGGCCTGGAAGGAAGCGTTCGAAGGAAGGGCGGTTAATACACCGCGCGAGCAGAAGTGGTCCCAGGAATGATTATGCCCCGGACATCCTAGCGGTTGATGATATTATGAACAAAAAGCTTGATTTATGTCCCCCTTCTCCTTCATTCGTTCCAATCTTAGTTTGTTGTCTTGGTGTTTTTTCCGCTTTTTTTTTTTTTTTTTGGACAGGAGCCGGTGTTTCAACAACGGTAATTTGGATGGGAGGTCTTACGACTATTTCTTTTCTTGTTGATGTTTTTTCCCCCATTTTTTGCCTATTAACGGTCCTGTTGCTTGTTTGTTCGGCGCACGGTCTGTTTTTTCAACAATAAACGACGATAACGAGCCTGTCGGATTTAACGTACGGTAGTGGTTAGCGATAGACGTGGGAATTTATATACGAAATTTATGGCACTACTCATTTTTAGCTAGGTGGCCGATATACTGGGCGCTTTCTTCCTTAAATTAGCTACGAGTAGATTACAGTGCTCATATCCGGTGCAAATAATCACATTATATCACTCGAGTAATGTTTTCAGCTTTCCTGAGCTGCACCGTGGTCCATTCATTCTACCGTCCAATGATGGAGAGCTTCTCAATGGTATCATAACGGGAACCTAGCCCCCCCGTGCACAGTAGTTGATACTGAACCAGCTAACCTACCGGTATGCGGCAGCTGCTATACCGTAGTGCGGCCTAAGCTGCAGGATTCTCTTGGGCGGGCAAAACCGGCATTGCGGGTACAAGTAACCTAATCCCGGTCTCCACAAGCGCCTGAGGTCGCAGTCGGTCCGAGCAGCGGGGTCTAGGGTGGGATTAAGAAGCGGTTGCTGTGACAACGACAGCTTGTTTATAACGTTAGCGAGAGCTCAGAACTGCGCGGCGACAAACCCGCTTGTATCGATATCTCGAACATCGATGACCTCCGTATGATATATTCGATTTCTTTTCTACCTCTTCACGAACGTTACGAGTGAATTTTTTCCCCCCAATCACGGAATTGGGACATTCCTGACGTGTTCATTTTACCGGGTGGTTGTACCAACCGGCTGTCCGTCCCTGATCATCCTCCTCAACTACTCATGGTAGGCATAGAGGGCTGGAGAATGTATAATCCCTCTTCTGCTTCACCCTTGAACTTCGAAATAAGAATAAGGAATGCCCTAATCGTGCCGATCACAATGTCCTGGAACCCATTCACGAAAGTCCACTTCTACAGTGCCCTCCCACTCTCGAACCCAGCCGGGTCTTCGGAAAAATGGCGACTCCCACGAAACGGCGCGGTCACCTCCCGGTTGAAAAGGGCTATGTGCAGGTTCATGATCATTCTTGCTTCGGTTACCGTCTTAACCGCCGGATTCTCACTAGTTACTATCCGCCATTCTACAAGTCGAGCGATCGCGAAGGCTACAGCTGTAGCGGAGAAGCCGAGGTGGGAGGGTTTCACGCTGCTGGAAGGGTATTATTCTGGGCTGGGGAGGCTGGTGAGGGGCGGTAGGCGGGAATATCCCCCTATGGGGATTACGGGGGCTGCCGGGAGCCAGGAGACTTTGAAGGAAGTGAAAAGTGTGGTCTTCAATCCTTATCCCGATTTCGGGTCGAAGGAGTATAAGAGTACTTGGCAGGGGGCGCATGAAGAGTGTTCCTACGGGGTGGATCTGTCGGGGAAAAAGAGGGGTAGGCCGGAGGTTAGAACTTTCGAAGGCATTCCCGAAGGCATGGGCATTGGCGATTTCCGTGGTGGAGGTGTAGGCTAATGGGAGCGCCTTAGGTATGCCAGCAGCTGTATTCGGGAGCCATTCCCTATTGGGATTGAAGGATGATTTATGCTTCGATCGATATGGGCGATACGGAACTTATGGCTACGGATACAGCAAGGAGAATGGTGGTCTGGGCGTAGCAGAGTATGATGGGGGCATAACAGATGGAGATGAGACTGGGTGGGGCCGGGGCAGTATGCCCGTAAAAGCGATCGACTGGCGAGGGATTGACTGGGGGGAGTTACAAAGGGAATGCGTTGAGAAGAACAAAGATCGCTTCAGCACATCGGACCAGGGGGATCTGGACCCGGAGGGGGTTTTGGCGGAGAGCGTGCACTCATCCAACAGACGCTCCGGGAGATCCGACGGGAAGAAGCCTCACGCTCGAGCCGCTATACTACTGAGAACATGGGCCGGTTACGAGTATAAACCTAGCGATATGGCTTCTATCCGATCGCTCATCTCAGAATTAAGCCTCAATTCTGGCGGTGAATTCACCGTCTACCTCCTCGTCCATGTCAAGGACAACGAGCTTCCAATCTGGGCCTCCAAAAAGCTTTACGAAAAGACACTACGGGAGAGTGTCCCTGAGGAATTCTGGGGAATAGCGGAGCTCTGGAACGAAAGCATGATGGGAGCGATCTATAACAACTTGAAGGATAACACCTTCCGTGGCAATCGACTTCACGGGGTCTACAGATCTAGTTTCTTTCCGGTTCAAGAGTTTGCATATCGTCATCCTGAATTCGACTTTGTATGGAATTGGGAGATGGATGTGAGATATATCGGGCATTTCTACGAGCTGTTCTCCGGAATGGACGCTTGGGCTGCTAAACAACCACGGAAGCATCTCTGGGAGCGTAATGAGCGGTACTACATCCCTTCCATCCACGGTAACTGGGCAAACTTCTCCTCGGCGGTAGCAGCAAAATCTCCGGAACCAATATGGGGACCTGTTCCAGTGGAGGGCGTCAAAATATTTCCAGCGGATCCGGAGCCCCCCTTCCTGACCCCGGAGGAAGACACGGAGTCCACGTGGGGGGTAGGCGAGCCAGCTGATCTCATATCATTAAACCCGATTTTTGACCCGGAAGATGCGACCTGGTTCCTCTCTGGCGATAGTACTGGCTATGGGTTCCCCATCGAGGACACGTCCCCTAAAGGCCCACCACGCCGTACCGCCATTATAGCCGTCGCTAGGCTTTCCCGAAAACTTCTCATGAGGATGCATGCTGAAAACGCCCTTCATGGCCACGCCATGTGCTCGGAAATGTGGCCACCATCGGTTGCGCTGCAGCATGGGCTTAAAGCTGTTTTTGCACCGCACCCTCTGTTCGTCGATAGAGCCTGGCCACTAAAGTACCTTGAAAGGACGTTCAACGGTGGTCCAAAGGGAAGTACTGGCGGGAGGGGTAGCGTTTTCGGGAAGGGGGAGCACAACTTTCAGGGAACAAGCTGGTACTATAACGCACAGTTCGCCTCAACGCTTTGGAAACGGTGGGTTGGGGTGGAGGTAGATGGCGCGGGGGGTGAAAAGTTCGAAAGCGTACAGGGCAGAATGTGCCTGAGGAGCATGCTCTTACATCCGATCAAGGGTATGGAGGTTTGAACTGTATAGTTTAAGGTTGTTTTTTCTATTTTTGGTTTTATTTTTCCCTTTCTAGCATACTTGGCGTTCCTGTGGGTTAGTGATATAGAAGTGTAAACAACTATAATGAATGACCGATGATAGGTTGTATCGGGTTTCCGAGTGATCTTTTGTGAGACTTCCTTCGCTTGCACTGATTTACCCTACCGGTATCGTGATGTCCAGGCACACACCTGTTATGGCGATGTGGCCTTTTCAGACCACTTTCGATGGGCAGGTTTCAAAGAAGGCGGTGGGCATGCACCACCCTCACCTATGGTACCGGTATATCTGGCCACGATCGCAAGACCCCCGGTCAGGGTTCCACGCGCGCTGCGGGGTCATGAATCCTCACTCGATTTGTGGGTCACCCCTGCGGGCGCAGGGAGTCATGGAGAGGTTTTTAACACGTTTTAATTCACCGTGTCATCAGCAAAGGCGCCCACCAACGGGTGACACGATCCAGGGTACCATCACGGTTGCTTAGGCAATTAAGATGACCGACGGGTTGAGGATAGGTGCGGTATCATCATACGGTAGCTGCTGCTCTGATACCCAGGCGTGGCTGAGACGAGATCAGGCTCGAGCGATAAAAAGTGGACTAATTGGCCTGCTTCGGGGAATTTGTGGCTAAGGAGCCACTCTCTTCGCAAAAGTGTCCTCTCCGCGAAATCGCCTGCCCAAGGAAAGGGTTCAAAAGGGAGGGAATCCGCGCTGCGCGCAATCTCCAACTGTGCTCCCTTCTATTCCTGTTAAAGTGTTCCAGCTCTAAGAGTACGGGTACTGCTATCATACATTCACATCCGTTCTCGAACAAGTCAGCACGTCTTGGCACCTTCCCCGATAGAGCGTGTGTAACCGAAAAAAGCAAGCTAATTAGCCTCTCCAAAGCCCTTTCTCAGCAAAGCAGCACGAATCCGCCGCCCCTTTCCCTTCTCCCCTTTCGCGCTTTTCCCAACCAACCTCTCCACCAAGGTCATCGTCAACCTCTTTTAACACAAACCTCTTCTTCTCTCACTAAGGCCCCCCCCTAAGGAATACAAGAGACTCTACAGAGTAACGTCTAATTTTTCCTCTTCTTGCTCTTCCCTCTATCCGCTACTCGGTACATTCTTACTTTGTATCATCATCGTCCCTTTTTTTTTTTGTGTGAGTAGCCCTTTTTCCCCTCGTTTCTTGCTCCCATCCTCTATTTGTCCTCATTGCCCTGCCGTTATATACCTACGGGGCTCTATCCCCCCGCAAATTCTATTCCCATCACACAAGGTCCCTCTTATCTATCACCTCCTGTTCCTTCTTCGGCCTCACCACTCGCCGCCTCGTATCTCCTTCATCCCGCCTCCGTATCTTCTGCTCTGCGGGGAAAAAGGGCCTTGGTATTTTATTTCCTTTATCCGGCTCAGCGAGCGAGTGATTTTTTGTCTATATATTCCGAAAAATCTTGCTTTTTTTTGTTTTGCTGTATCACGCTATCCCCTTCCCCTCAGTAATCCGTGTCCCCCCCCCCTCATCTCTGCCTCATCACTACTCTTACTTTTCTCCTTTGACTACACTGCACCAGCCACGTGTCAATAGCATCCGACATCTCACCTTCAACTGCTAATATTTCTCGTCTGGATAATAGGGAAATCCTTTTTTCCACAGCTCTCCTCCACCTCACGAGATTAACGGGAACACGCTCGAACAGCCGCAATCATGGGTATCTCAATGTCGAAGCTCTTTACCGGCCTCTTTGGCAAGAGGGAGATGCGTATATTGATGGTCGGGTTGGTGTGTTCGCCTTTTCGCTATTTTCTTTCCCCCATCCTTTCCTTGCACTTATCTCTGGGCCAACTCGGGTCGCTTGGTGCCAGTTTTTCTCTTGATTTTTTCTTTCTTCCCATGCCCGAGTGATGTGCATGCTGCAGGGGTGGTTAGGGTTGACTGGATTGCTGACGTTTTTACCTTATCTCGCCCAGGATGCCGCCGGTAAAACTACAATTCTTTATAAGTTGAAGCTCGGAGAGATCGTTACTACGATCCCCACCATCGGTAAGAAGCTTCTTTTACCCGCTCTTTGCTTTTGCCGGGACATTCCGTCCATGGAAGGGTCTGAGACATGGTGGCACCATGTGTTTATTATTTTGTTTTATTTTAATGTCTCGTTCGCTAACGGTTCGTTGCAGGGTTCAATGTTGAGACTGTTGAATACAAGAACATCTCCTTCACCGTCTGGGATGTTGGTGGACAGGACAAGATTCGTCCCCTCTGGCGCCATTACTTCCAGAATACCCAGGGTATCATTTTCGTTGTCGACTCCAATGACAGAGAGCGTGTCAGTGAGGCACGTGAGGAACTTCAGAGAATGTTGAATGAGGATGAGCTTCGGGACGCTTTGCTCTTGGTGTTTGCCAACAAACAGGATTTGCCGGTGAGCATTGACGAACGAGTCATATTCACTGGGCTCATTACTGACTCAGAGTTAGAATGCCATGAATGCTGCAGAGATCACTGATAAGCTTGGCCTGCATAGTTTGAGGAACAGGGCTTGGGTATACTTTTTCACTGCCTGTATTCTAAAATTTGCCACTCTGACAGCTGTTCTAGTACATCCAATCAACCTGCGCTACTTCAGGAGACGGTCTTTACGAGGGATTGGAATGGCTTAGTAGCAACTTGAGGGCGCGCAAGTAGATTGTCGGGTTTCCCTTTCGTCCTTAATTCTCGCAGTCCCCTCCATTATCCCTAAATCTCGACGGTTCCAGAATTAGTGTTCCCTAGGCAGTCAATTCAAACTTCGTATCGTTTTCCGGGAGCAATTTCCGGGGCATCCAACTTACTAAAATTCAAAAAGAAAGCTTAATGGGTGGAAATGAGGCATGGGGGTTTTTTCTTTTTTTCTTCGGTTCCCTTTTCTGTATCCCTTCTCTTTTGCGAAATTCTAGCTTGATGTGTTTTTAAATGGTGTGGTTTGGCTGTAGTGGTCTTGGGGTGGAGATGGCAATGAGCAATGAATGCGATGGATATAAAATTAGCTGTGGCGGGAGGATGCGTTAGTTGTATTGTGAGGCTGGTTGCCTTGAGTGTCCATTAGAAGTTGAGTGATGTGATACAGAGATACATTTGCTACGGTATTTATTATGGTCGGGAGCTTTTCTCGTAGGGCATGGTGCTGCTACCGGTAATCTAGCTGTGTCTCGACCCGTCGATTTATTCTTGGTGGCTAGGCCGTAAACAGTTGTTTTTTTTTGCCACCGTCCACATCCATAAGCCAAGTTTCGACGATGGTAATTGTGATCACGCCCAGACATCCTTCCTAGCCTCACTCATCCCGTGCCCTCAGCATATATTCGCTCCACCGCATGCCCTCCTCTTCACCAAATACTTCAGACCCAGTCTTCCGAAAATGCTGGAACCGCAACGCTTGCAACGACTGTCTATCATCTATTGATCCAACCTGCGGCTGGTGCCCTTTTGTACCTCCCCTCCTCCGTGACCTCACTCTCTCTACCTCCCTTACTCTTGCTCCGTTTCTACAGCAGCTAACACCTCCCCCCCCCCCTAAAAAAAAGACACAAACCTGCGTCCCGGCAACCTTCACCACGCCACTGCACTCCTACTCCTGCCCCTCCCGCTCCGAGCGCTGGGAAATGCGCACCGCGCCATTCGGCTGTCGAGTCTCCATGATAACCCTCGGCGGCGTGCTGGTCGGTGCGGTGGGCGCACTGGTGATCGTACTACTGGTGGTGGGTGCGGTTTGGGCTTGTAGGAGGAGTCGTGATGCTACCGCCAATGCTGCCGGTGCTGAAGAGGGGGATAGATTGCTGGGGGTTGGTGGCAGGGGTGGCCCGGAGGGGGAGGAAAGGCCGGGCCTGGAAGGACTGGGAAGGAGGGTTAGTTTTTGGGTTTATAATGCGTTTTTGCCCAGTGGTAGCGGCGCGGGTGTTGGTGTTGAGGGTGGCGCTGGGGGGTATGGGACTATGAGTGGAGGCGGAACGGGTGGGTATGGGAGCGATGGGAGTGGTGGGAGTAGCGGTGGTGGTATCGGAAGGGTGGATTCTGCGGAGAGTTTTGGGAATGGTGGGTTGGATGGTGAATTTGAGGAGCGGAGGAGAAGGGTTTTGGAAAGGGGGTAGGGGAAGGAGGTATAATGGTGCGTATTGGGGTGGTCTTGGACTCTTGGATCGCTTTGCTTTTTGACATTAGTCTCTTGTTTACGCTGTAGGTAGGGTGGATTGAAGGGTTCTTGCTCTATAAGCGCGTGTGGTAGTCTGGTCCACAGGTTTCTCTACTGGAAAGAGCGTGCGGTGGTTATCATACAAAACTTTATTTTGATTTTCTGCACTAGAATGCTCCTGCGCCGTGCATCCCGTATCGGCAGGTACTGTGGGGAAATTGAGATTGAATTCCCTCCCCCGGTCGATCCCGTTTCGAGCGATATCCGTGTGTTCTAGCCTGCTGGTGGTCAAGTGGCTACCGCACCAAAACCTGTATCATACGCCACTCTTGGAGCCTACCGTGCTGCACGCGGCGGCCCTCTCAATATCCTCATTCTTCCTATCTTGCGCATGCACCCTGGTACCTGACGTCCCATATTCGCTCAAACCGAGTCCCCCGACACACGCGGAACCCCACATTCACCCCCGCTTTGAAATCCCTCATGACGGCGCTGGTCCACGCCGGCCGTAACTATTCCTCATCCACGCGTCCGAGCCAGAGCGCTCACAGAGGGTTTTCTGTGGATGCTAGCTATATTTCAACAGAATCCACCACGTAGATACGTCCCAAGTGTGAAGTTTGGCCGCAATGAAGGGGGTAGGGAGAGAGGGAGGGAGGATTGTGTGGTGGTTTTCCGGGGATGCCTATCAACACTCTTTTCTTCTCCCGAAGTCTCTCCGGAACGTGGGTGCATGGTGCGTGGCTGATTTTTTTCTATATGGTGCTGTGGGCCCGGCGAGATGTGCTGTAGTGCTATGGAGCACGTTAGATCGTACAGTGCCATTGGTAGATCACTTGTTTGTTCCCCGTTCCAGAGAAACTTGGAGGAGGAGGAAGGAGGCTTCTGTCTTTTTGTGCTGTGGTGCGTTGTGTGAGAGCTACGGTATGATACTTTGGTATGTGATGATATGTGTAGTGAGGAGGATGGAAGGAAGGAAGGAGATCCGTATATTTTGATAATAAGTTACTGGATAGATGCCGTAGTTTGAATCGACTATGCAAAAACCGGTGTTTTTCGTTATGGGAAGGGGAGGGATAGGACGGGCTCTATGAAGGTGAGGCATCAACGGTTATATAAATAGGAAGGGGGGAGGAAGGTAGTATACCATACGAATCCGCTTGCATTATAAATTCTTGCCCACCCACGCAGTCAAAATTGTTGGGGGCGTATGTTTGGATATACTAGTTTGCCCCCCCCCCCCCTCCCAAGACGGTGTTCCTAAGGAGGGGTGGAGGGAAGACTAGAATACATCCCCACATGAATTGAGTTGGCTTCCGCCATCGTGAGAGGGATCAAAGGTTGACCGTTGGGCGCTAGGATAGTATAAACCGATAGCTGGATGTGCCTTGATCCCTTCCCCGTTCTGTAGGCGTGGCACAGAGCACTGTGCCAGTATAGCAGTATGATAGGGGATGCAAAGCCGTACATATCATACCTACACGTTTCCACTCCTGGCGTTGGGAGCGCTGGGCTGCCGTCTTAACATTTGTAGTATGATAAGTGGCAGTATGGTGGCCGTTTCTCGCACCGCTGGGGAAAAGCTTCGACTGTTGGACGTGGATGGTTCGGCGCCGAGTGCGATTTTGGCATTTTTTTCCCCTGGGTGGGAAGGGTAACGAGCTGGCGAAGAATATGTGGACATACGCTGGATTTCCCAAGAGCTGGAGAATGGTATTAAGATTGTTTAAGTCGAGCATGGAAGGGTTCTATCACTCTTGGGAGTACTAACTAGTGCAGTGCAGTAGCGGATTGTCATGGTGGGAAGCTTCACGGCACCGCAATGTACATGGAGCTTCTGTAAGTTAGGAAACTGCACAACTTTGATCGGCCCGGATCTTCCATTCCATGATTTTAGGGGAATAATAATATATGGCACTGTAGGGTTCTCAGCAACTGGACGAAGCAGTGTGCTTTCTAAAAGAAGGTGAAAAAAAAAGAATATCACCCATGGCAGGAGCTGGCACGTCTTTTCGAACGGACTGGGTCAGTTACACTTGAAGGAACCTGTCTATCACGGGGAACTCTGACAGAGGATGGAAAATTTTACATTCACAGTACTGTACTGCACAGTGACCAGAAGGCTTAACCTCCGGGAAATAGAGGAGGAAGACATCTGATTTCTTTCGGGGTCCCAGGGGGGTGGCTAACGTAGGGACGGGGTGGGTAGTATCCACTAGGGAGGAAGGCTGGGTGGTGGTGGCGAGTAAGTTTGGCGGTTTGGCAGCACATTCCGAGTGGCTGCTACGGCATTGGTCAAATGTCGAGCGTTCCGCCTCCATCTTGTATGCACGATACACACTTCCACTTCAAGAACGGCACACTGCAAAAGCACCACCACTCTCATCCACCCGAGTGACATCCTGTGATTTAAAAACCGCCCCGATACTCACACACACCGTTTCACATATGGACTGACTAAGAACCATCTCGACAATCGGGACCTTCGATACTCCCTGGGATCCTCTGAAGGGTATTTCCTTCACATTTCCAGTGTTCCGGAGGAGTTTGAGGGCGGTTTGGCGGTTAAGTTCTGGTAGTACTCACTGCAAAGCCTGGGACCTGAGGGAGAGAGAGCAAGGTATCATATCACGGCAAGCACATTGGTATTTCACAAGAGTTCGCTCGGGAAATTCGCTCCCGCAAGGCTCTCACCCGAGCGTCCAATCCAGCCGGAGATCATACGAGCGTGGACTATTATCCGAAGATAAAAAATCCGGACCACATGCTTTCTCAGGAACCGAGTGATCTCAGATGCAGTACCTGGAGTATTGTCCCCCCTATATGATGTGGCACCCACAGCGCCTGGCTTTTCCCTTCTTTACTACTACTGTTCTAGATATGCCAGAGGCTTTCGAGCGTTGGAACATCATTTCAACTCAAAGTCCCTCCCCCCCCTTCCTCCTATTTTTATACTTTTTCTTCTTCCATTGCTTAGGTTCACTTAATTCCATTGAGATGAGTTGGTGTCACACCCCACTTGGGTACGAGTAGATCCTGCGCTCTCCAAGTGCAGCCATGATAGCATAACCTATCGAGTGGGCCCGCGAACCCGACGATTCGGTGAAAGTGCTCCGGCATGTATGATACCCCTCGGGCAGTAATTCCGGGTTTACTCGTGTACTGACGCCACCATCCAAAGCAAAGCGGGAGCGTAGGGGGCACAACGCTCTTACTGTGGAGAATGGGGGAGAGAAAGAAAGAAAAAAGACAATCTCCCACGAATGCACAGCCAAAAGCCTAGGCATAAAAGGTATTCACAATTAGCCCTAAGACTAAGGTACGAGTACCATTCTACCGATACTCGAGTAGTGGTGGAGATAGTCTAGACGGATGGCACGTGCCTCAAGGCACCAAGTCGCTCCGTTATGCCTAGCAAACATGGTTCACGTGACTGCTATATCCACAGAATCGGCAGCACTGGCATAGTGTTTGAAGGCGGTCTCATGATTTTACATATCGGGCGTCGGCTGATGAGGGGTTCACTTGTGCGGTACCGCCTCAATATTTGGCCCCACCCCGAGTGCTTGCACGATAGCGCGCTACCTCATCGGAATTATGGTACCAGAGGTTTCTATAAAGGAACTGAGACGAAAAAGTACTGTAATAAAAGTATCATGACATACTTCATCTAACTCGCTTTTCCCCGGAAATACCTTTATCTCTCGTCACATGATTGTCTTTTCACAAACAAGTTATGATAAGTCATATCATAGAACACTAGTTCTCCGGAAAGCAAAATCCCACCCCGCGAGATTAATTTGTATTAAAGCATTTGTCATGGTTCATACACTTTTCTACGTAACCTAGTTCTACAAAAACCCCGTTGGACCATGAAGATAATCCGAGTAAACATCCCAGGACTGGGAAAAACGAAGCGTAAAGTCAATCTTAAATAAGCAGAAATCAAAGAAATCAACGTTTCACAACTCATCCTTAACCTCTCTCTCCCCTTCCTTCTCCTTGGAGAGAAACTGCGTGAGGATGTTCTTGCGGCTTAGGATGTCGTCCAACCTGGGTCGCTGTAAGCTGTATGCACTAGCGTGAGTTGGTAGAAGTGCACTTACTTCTCCGGGGCCAAACCGCCCTTAGCGGCAATTCCCTCCAACCTCTTGATCTCCTTCTTGGCATAATCCGCATTCTTGGAGAGCTTATCGGCTGCTTTAAGGTAGTATGCAGCATATTTCTCCTTGACCTCCTCGGCGGCCTTTGCCAGCTCCTTCTCGGCATCCCTCTCTCCCGAAATAAGCTTCTGGACAATGGTGTCCAAAGAAGCAATTCTTCCAGCCGCACCATCGACGCCTCCGCCAACAACACGGTGGGTACCGGCATGCTCATTAATGAACTGGGTCAATGCCTCCTCGGACCTGGCAGACTCATAGGAAAGGGGCTCCTTGGCGGAAGTTCCCTTAGGGAACCACTTTAGGGTGGGGAAACCAGTAATTCCGTACTTCTCAGCAGAGGCCTTCCCACCAGGAGAGTCGGCGTCAAGTTTGGCAACCACAACGTTAGTCTCAGAGGCGAAGTTCTTGGCGAGCTTCTCATAGATCGGGGCAAGGTTCTTGCAGTGACCGCACCATGGCTATAAGCTCGGGTTAGCAATGACTACATTAAACACAACTCAGGTTGACAAACCGCATAGAACTCAACCAAGACATCCTTCTTCTCGTCGTGAACAATCTTGTCGAAGTTGGCATCATTAAGCACAATAACGTTGCTTGGTACTTCACGTTTGGCCTTAAGCTTCAACCCACCGACTTTCTCCATAACGAACGCTTGGAGTGCTTCCAAGTCCCGACCGGATTCGTATGGAATAGGATCGGTGGACTTTCCGTCAAACCACTTCAATGTTGGGAAACCGGTGACGCCAAACCGCTTTCCGAGTGCCTTGTGATCTGCAGATACTTTAGTGAGGGAAATCGAAGCTCGGGGCGCAAGCGTCCATGTGGTAATAGTGACATACTATCGGCATCGACTTTAGCGATTGTCACTTTGTCCTTCTGACTGGCAAACGAATCCGCAAGCTCCTCGTAGACAGGGGCAAGATTCTTGCAGTCTACCGGTATTCCATCTCAGATTAGCCATCATCATCATCCTGTCACGATACGGCCCAATTAACTTACGTCCGCACCACGGCTATTGAGTGAACGACGTCAGCACCAGGTCTCGAGGGTTTGCAGATTCAGATTCAAATCCAGAAAAACTCACGGCGAAAAATTCAACCAACGCCGGCTTTCCACTCTGCAGAATCTCCTTGTCGAAGTTATCGGAGGTTAAATCGATGACATTACTAGCCGTCGCGACCAGCAGGAGTGAAGCGAGAGTGAATAGAGAGCCGAAACCCTTCATTCTCGATATTAATTGGGTCTGGTATACCGGTGTGATAGGTAACAGTTGTTGATGAAGAAAGGAAAGGTAATATTGGGTTGGAAGGTTTGCAAGAAGGAAAGGGACAGATATCCCGTGGTTGGAAATCAGGAAGTGGCGCGTGGCGGCTGAGAAATCGGGATCCTTGCGTCACCTTCACGCACTGTCCAGCACCCAATAAATGCGGGCACCCGAGCTGGCCGTGGCTGAGTGACTGAGCCTCGTTTGTTTCTTGAGGGGGGAACAAGATGCCGGAATCTAGGTATCGGGTCTAAACGTCTTGCTTGCCCAGGCTCTTTACCATTGAGATCAAAGCTAGAATACTCTTACCACAGCTAACTGATGCTTGAATCTCGACTCGGACTCTTATTGGCAGTATTTAGTGGGTGGTTAATTATGACTCTTACAGCATTCATGGCTAGTTCCTCGAAAACCTTATTGTTAGAAGAGACCTTGGTAATTAAACTCGTATAAAGCTATCGAAATAGTGGATAAGTGGTCGTTCGTGATTTCGCTGACACTCGCTTAGAATCTTGTCTAACGATGCGTTTACCATAAGCTCTCTACGAGTACCATTAGAACTGTATCGTACGGTCCACATACCGTAGGCTACCACCCTGCATCACCCCCTACTTCAGGGCCGAAGCCCCGACCAACTGCCCTCGGAGCAAATAAGTTAATGAATGGCGCGGCGACAGAGTGAGCGAAATGGTCCGAGGCCCCGGTGTTGGGTAGGAGGGGTGCGAAAGGTATGATATGGCCTTTAGCTTCGTTCTCTTGCTGCTCAAATCCGGCTAATGATAGGGATAGTAATGTATGCGGAACATAAGCCATCCTGATCCTTCCATGGATCTACACACACATCTCCCCGCCTCCATGCACGCCTCCATCTCTCTGTGCACTCCCGTGGTGACCAAGGAAAAAAATCTCTGGAGAGCGTCACCTGTAAACCATGACCGCTCCAGAACAACCCCAACTCTCTCCTGCTTTCATGATAAACTGCAGCGTGCTGGCTTCCTTCACCAACTCTGACAGCTTCACCGCCCTCCTCTCGCTCGCAAAGTCCTGTGTGGGCTGATCCGTTCGTCGTGGCACATGGGGCAGACTCCCGAGAATGTGAATATTCTCGATTGCTAAACCCCCCGTTCATATTTGAGCAGAGTTCCATCATTCCTATATTCCCCCTCACCACTGGAGCAACACGCCCTAGATCCAGAGACTGCATTGCCTCTCGTCTCTATGAGATATCCAACCTTTGATCCCAATCACGGGAGGAGATGGAGAACCGGTCGGCTTTTTTCTCTTCCCGAGTGACCCCTTATGATCCCCCTCCCTCCCTCACTTCACCACAAAGCCCAAAAAAATGTCAACCACGGGAACAAGGATCAGAGCGCTCAAGCTTATGATCCCTGGGTATGCTCCGCGGAAGCGGTTCCGACAACCCCGAGACCTCGTGATATCCTTGTGGACAGACCCTCCGTTTCACCCTCCCAAGGACTCCTGCCTCTACGCAGAGAGCCAGTAGACTGCTGGTATTCCACCGCGTAAACCGTGCGCAGTATCTTGGCTGCTACATCAAGTCTTCGGCGATGCCGTGGTAGGCCAGCGGATCTCCGTACGATAAAAAAGATATAGGTCATATTCCCCATTTTATCTGTTCTGCGGCCAATTGAATCGTGCTCGCTGCCCACGAACTGCCTACCTCGATCGTTCGGCCAAGTCTATCCTAATTGCCCCCCACCTGGTGGCGATACGGCAGCTTCTGTCACCAGGTATGCGTAAACCGCTGAGTTGGTATCGAGTGCAAGTGCCCCATGCAGGGCATACCAGCCATAAGGTACGGCAGTGCGGTGTTGAAGATTACCGGTAATGTGTTGTTTCCGCCGACGGGCATTAACTCCCCGTCCCTCACCCGGGAATTCTTCACCTGAGTGGGAGAGCCCCCTTGTCGAGTGTTTTGATGTACTCCAGTACCCCGCAAGGGCCTGCTACGGGTTGCTGGATATGGTTAGGACATCAACAAGGAAGGCATTGATGGTGGTGATTTGCTAAATCCGCCTAACTGAGCATCTCCCGATCCTCTTCTCACAACCTCAAGGGGGTATATATCGCGGAGTTAGGCCACTGTACAGTGACGTTTCCCCTCTTGCTGTTTGTAGCCCCTACTTCCACAGTATGGTGGGTCGTAACTTCGTATGTAGGATCAAGCCTCAAGCCATAAACGAAGGGCCGTTATTCCCGCTATGATTCGCTGAAAACCCCACATCGACCCCCGACAAACCATAGCAAACACGATGACATCGAGCTACCGGCACGACATCAAGAAGCCACAGGACCGATAAGAAAACCCGTCCCCCACGCTCACTCTACAGGCTCCGGACGCAACCCACACCAAACCCACATGACCTCATATCCACCCTGACCCATTGAACCCCCGAAAGAGGGTCCAATAGAAGAGCGATGAGCCAAGATTCACAGGTCAACCTTCCTGATACAATACCGGTATATCCGCACTTGTTCCCGCTACCGGAATCTGGAACATAACATGCTACCAGCCGCCCGCTCCCGATCGCAATCCCGATCCCAATCTCTCGATTCCTCAGAGCAATGGTTCTAGAAAGACGTCATAACCAATATCCTACCACAACAACAACGGCGTGATACCTCGTACCAGCGCACTGTGGGGCGTACGGGTGCCCAGAATGCGGCCACTCAATCTGTTTCATTCTACCTTTGTTGCAAAATCCCTCACTGCTCATGTATTCGAACTGATTTTTATGACGGTGTTGATAAGAGCTGATTCAAGTGAGAACCTCTGGCCCCACCCCGCAGAGAGATCATCTCATCCCACAAAAACCAAGGGTGGCAGAGTGCGAATCCCTGGAGTCAAGGGAGAAGCATCGGGATACTGTATGACCCCCGGATAAAGACCCGGGTCCGCTTCTAGATCTGCACATGGTAGAATGTGAGGGTTTTTAATTAATATGCTTCAAGTGCAGAAAAAAGCCCCAGGATGTTGTGGAATCCCCGGTCACACAAAAGACCACCGACTGTCTTATCGCTACCCCGCTTCCTCCCTCGCTCGATCAGAGCCCCTGCGCAGCGGGGTAGTTTCAAACTGCTTAATGGGGTAATTAGGAAGGAGTATATTGTATATAAATACGACTCTCCGCTTCTGGCATGCCACACATCCGTCTAATCGCAACTCGAACCGCCCCGCGGCCCCGAATTGAAGCTCCAAGGCGCGCGAACAAAAAGTTTGGACAGGTGAGAGAGACCCACCAGAGTCTGCAAGGGGTAATAGCTAACCGGTTTGCCCAATAAGAATGTTTAAAAGCAACCCTTTTAAACGTAGACAAGGTCCCCAAGAACTACACCACCCTGTCTACCACTGCCCAACCTTCGGCATCCCGAATGAAATGGCCTTTGGAGAGACGTTACCAAGATCTCACGAAAGCAGGAGGAGGCCGCGGGGTACCAAATCCACCCTCTCTCTCCATTTTATTAGCTCCCATCTAACATCCGGCCCCAGGCCCAAGAGGTCAACAGAAGAGGCGGCCTGCGAACCCGACGCCAACTACGAACCAGCACCGCAGACCTGGACAACAACCCGCTAAAAGTTCCGAAACGACTATCTCGCGAAAAGGCCAGCTTGCCAGAACAGGAATGGAGCGGGTCAAAAGAACCCATCCAGCCCAAAGGGGTCGAAGTAACAAAACACCAGAGGCAGGGATATGAAGAACCCGATTCACGAAGGAGGTGGGAAATGACAGCAGGGGGAGGGTGATAGCCCCTCCGCCAGCATGAACTGCACGGCTCGATATCAGACTATACTGTACAATACATACGATCTACATTTGCGCCGGAGGGAGAAGAACTTCTCGAGGAGGCGGGGAAACGGCGGAGTCAGCGCGGGGGGGGGGGAAGCAGAGATGGCAAACCTTTTTTTACCAAACGAATGAATTGCGAAACCCCCATGAAACCACCCACCCAAGCACGCACGCACGCACTTTTTTCTTCCTTTTTTTCCGCCACCGTAGTAGATTCGCCAAGTTGGCTCAAGTATGTCAAAGTGATTACAAAACCATTTATGACGCTATGGTCGAGTGGTTAAGGTGAGAGATTGGGGACCTTCTTACCCTTGGGTGCGCGAGTTCGAATCCCGTCGACGTCGTTCCATTTTCGCTGTTTCTCCTCATAATCATAGTGTGCAGTGGCGAATCTTTTTTATTTTATTTTTCTCCCGCCCGTCCCCCCATGATAGCTTGATGCAGTACCGTAGGATATCATATCATACTCCCACTGAAGTCCAGGTCAGGTTGGATCCTGTTAGCCCCACCCACCCAACCGGCCAAGTAATGTGGACAATAGACTAGTACTTGTACTCGTGCTCGGATACGGAAGTAAAGATCAAGTACCGGTACTCAAAGAACCCCGCTATTGCAGGGGAGTATTGAGCTGGCCAGCATAAAAGAAAAAGATCGGCAAGGCTAAGCTCTCGAAGAACCCGGACTAAAACTCAGCAGGTGTGTGACATGGCAATGATGTAAGTGCAAGTGATAGTAGTCTAACTATCATAGTGGTTGGTCCTAGTGGTGGTACTTGTACATGTACAGTAGACTACGGTACCGACCGCCTCTTACGAGTATATTTAAGCAATACCCGTACGGCACTTGGGTAAATTGGTTACCAATTCCATCCCTTTACATCTCCAGAGAGAATAGTAGGGCAAGTTAGTTTAGTACGAGTACCGGTAGCTAACCTCCCCGATAGCTAATCAGTCCATCCAGCACTGTTACCGGTAAGAGACCACCAAAGATGCAACTAACTTACAAGTATCATACTCCGGCGCTTTTTAACTTCCCTCTGTCCCTCTTTCGCCCCCCCTTCAATTCCTCATCTGTGCGATTCCTGGGGTTCCTAATTCTATCCCTGTCGTGCTCGATCGATTCCTTTCTGTATTTCTTTTATACTTCCATATCGGAGTATCGAACTTGGTACAATATGGTGTGGTTTTGCAGTCATGCTTCTCAAGCGCAATCCCAACAAGAGCGGTTTCGGGAAAGCCGAGTATTAGCTACTGTACGAGCGTGACCTTGCTGGAAGGATGGAGTTTAACTTGAGAAACTCGACGTGTGTCGGGGGTTCTGTCTAATGGGCTGCTGCTGGTAGCATCAGCCCGACTGACTATCGTAGGGTACGGCACGGTGCTGGGCCGAACCCGCTGGGCAGGTGGGTAGGAACCCCTTCTCCCCATCGGACAAAGCGGTGTAGTAGCGGCGTACTGCACTGTACTGTGCGGTACCGTAGTTTAGAATTTTCGGGGGAACGGAAGCTCCAACGAGTGACGTGTGATGAACGAATCATTCTGCATCCTTGTCCCGTGGCCCCCCGCCCGCCCGTCCATCATATGATACTGTACACTACCAATTAATAGCGAGAAATCCGACCAAAGTTTGCTTACCCCCCCCCGCCTCCCCCTTGGTATGGTACCGGCGTGTAGTTTCCGTTTGCGGGCGGGGGTTTGTGGAGGTTCAGCTTTCATATACTGCGAGCGAGCAGAGAGTACAGTACCGGTACATATCGTTGTATCACAAGTGTCATATACCGGTACGAGTACTACGCTCGTACAAGTGCCAGGCGACATGTTTTCCTGCCATACGAGACAGGGATACGAGGGGGCTCGTACGAGCAAAGTGCGGTAGTGAGCCAGCAAATAACCCCTGTCCGGTACTGCCCTTGTACGAAAACATCGCCACGGGTACGGTACTTGTACCGTGAATTGGCGCGATTCGCCATCCGATAGGTTACCGGGTTATGGTGACCTCCCCCATTCGGAGACAGAGGCCCTCCCTCCGGAATGGCTGATTGCTCTCTCTTTCTCTCTGTACCGACCGACGCGGTATCGGCGTGAGCCCCGGACGCGTTGAATCTCATCGACCGGTATTCAGCAATTCTGTTACAAAGCAACATGCCGGAATAAGCCACTGATGGACCTGGTAGCGAATCATAAGAGATTCTATGCACAGGTGCGAGTGCCGGTACTCGGGCACGATACTGTGCCTTGTGTGATACTCGAGTATAGGGGGGCAGATTACCCAGATTTTTAGACTCCTTGGCTCACCGCGTACGGTAAGGGGGGGGGGATTTACCGTCGGTCGACCAAGTGAATAGCGGTACCCCCGGTCGGGTACAGTATGGTCCGATTGATAGTTCAGGCCCACAGGGACTCGAGTACTCGAGTACCGGTAGACCACCGGTACAACGCCATCACACAACGGTGGAGACGGAGGAGGTGGGTGGATGGGCTGTTTACATGACACCCGGGATTTCAGCCGGTGATAGCAGGTTTCTGGTCTGTTTACCGTGCTGTACTCGTACAAGTACTAGTACTGTATGTGATGGTACAGTGCTTGTGTTCGGGAGGAGAGTGTAATTACCGGTAACTTGCGCTTGGCTCCTGTTGAACGTAGGGAGTGAGTGACAATCGCCCACCATCCCTCGGATCTTCTTCGGGGTAAGCAGGGGTTGTCTGCCGGGGTTGGTTGGAGCCTATATCAAGGTAATCTTAATTGACATGGGGGCGAATTTTAATAGATTAGGGGGCAGGGGGGGCGCATATGATTTCCAACGTCTGCAAGGGAGAAAAAAAGTCACAGCACAAACAAACCAACGCGGCGCAATCACTTCTCGGATGAAAAACTCTGGTGGTTTCGAACGGTATATTATACAGCCTTCATGGAAAATCCCGTAACATGAAATAATAACAAGAAAAACCCCCCGTTTAGAAAGACAAATGAACAGAAAAGAAAAAGAGAAAACCCGCAGCCCCGCAAGAATAAAAACAGAAGGGAAAAAGTGAATTAGAAGAATGTAAAAAAAAAAAATCAAGAAAAGCATGTACAATTCCCATACCCATTATTGCATGACTTCCAGAGAAAGTGAGTCATCAGCACAAGTAACAGAGCCGCAATCCATCAAAATCAAAGCACATCGGTGTCAATGGTGGAAAAGCGTCATTTTTCGTTCAAACTACCGTTTTTCCGTCTTCCTCACGCTTCGATTACCCTCCACCCCCGTAATTACTATCCCTCCGGACCATCGTCTAATCCACCCAATGCTCGAAAGAAAAGAGAGAAGAAACATCTACAAAGCAAGGGCAGCAACCACAAAGGCCGCGAGTCCGAGGAGTCCCGAAACGGTGACGGCCGAAGCGCCAGAAGACGGCGATATGGGACCTGAGGTGGGCGACGGCGCGACAGGACTCCTGGCACCGGCAGTGGTGAGATTTGCACAGGCAATGCGACCGCCGGCGCTGTTGTGAACGACAATGGAGCGGTTACCGATGAAGGCACCGATCCCCTGCTTGGTGGAAATGTAGTTGTCGACAAAGACGAGGTAGACCTCCAGCATTGAGCCATTGGAGTTGGGGATCTTGCCATGCTTTCCCGCCAGGTCGCCGACCTCACAGGTGGCGGGGTACTTGGGGTCACAAGGGTCTACCTGTCCACGCTGGTAGGGGTCCAAATGGGCCAAAGTACCGTTGCAGTTTCCGCTGGCGGGGACGGGCTGGTCGTGAATGTGGTAGGCAAAGGGGCCGGTGGCTCCCTTGAAGCCCTTCAAGTCGAGGGAGACCTCGACACCAGTACCGTTGCTGGTGCTGGAGAATTTGGCGGAACCGGTGACGGTGCCGTTGGTGGGGAAGGTGGCAATATAGCTAGATGGGAGGGGAGAGAAGAGGTTAGCCATTGGTGGAATTGGTTGCGTGGTGGGAGCGAGTTGGTTACCTTGCGCCGGCTGGGTTGTCAGTGATGACGGCTGCATCCCCAAGCTTACCAGTGATGGCGGAAGCAGAGGCAGCGAAGAGGGCAGATGCGATAAGAAGTCTGAACTGCATATTGATCGGATCTAGGTTTGGTGTGAAAAGGTTTGTTGGAGAGCTATGATTGGAGGGTGGAAAGTTTTTGTGAGATGATGGTACAGCGAGCGACGATAGTAGAAAGAAACCAACCAAGTGGAGGAAGCGGTAGGAGCGATGAAGGAACGGATGGGGCGTCGAGAAGACTGGAAACGGCTGTGGTGGAGAAGGGGGGAGAGAGGTTGAAGGGGGGGGGGAGCGGCGGGGAGTTTATATGAAGGGAGCCACACATGGGATGTAAGCACACCCACAACTTTGTATGCAGCACAGTCCAGGGCAGCCCACCATGGTAAGAGGAGGGCGAAAGGGAAAAAGAGGGTGTGGTGGCCGCTGCACAAACCCTTCCCCTGTTCCTAATTATTACCATGTTACCGCTATTCTCTCTCGCTGTGGGTATGATGCTTTATTGTCTCTCACATTAGTGCAGCTACTTGTACCTGTTTGCTCGGCCAAGCTATCCCTCCGCCAGCCTTGGACAAATTCTATTGGGGGAAACGGTGAAGGACGTGGATGTGAGCGTGTTGGCAGTATCAGTTGGTACAAGAGGACGGAGGGGAGCAACGGTAACGCTGTTCCTGCGCCTCATGTATTCCCTCCCCATTGAAGGGTTCATGATGATGAAAGTGACGATGATGCCACTGCTGTCGTCCACCCGCTAGCCTTTGGTACATTATGCTACATGAGGGTGGAATGGATTGGCTGCGCGAATCTTCTATTCCAGCCATGTTCTTTTTTTTCTTTTCTTTTCAAGATTTCCTGCCTCTCACTCCCCTGCTCTGAGTCCAAGGCTGGCAGAGGGAACAGGCGGAAACAAAGTCCAGTACCGTACCGATACTCGAGTGCTGTACTGTACTGTATGTACAGTACGAGCACCCGTACCTGTACTCGAGTACAAGTACCTTACTGCTGTCTCTCCTTCCCGCACATCACACAGCACAAGAAAGGGCAGAGGATAGAATACTATTATCCCACCCCACCATGGGCAACAATAGCCACTGACTGTTCCGAAAAAGCAAAAAAGAAGAAGAGAAAAAGCAATCAGTGGCCGAAAGCGCTAGTGAGTGGCTTTCTCTTTTTCTTCTTCTTTTGAGCCTCGCGCATCCGAGCATGGTTCCCTTTCCGTCTCCCCAGTCTGCTATCATCCACGCCCATCTCGCCCAATAATACCTTTGCTCCCCTAGACACTGCAATCATCCGCCCCCAACCCCCTATCCCATCAGGGATGGAGCAGAAGGAACACCCTCGAGCACAATAAGCTCTCAACCCCGGTCCGGGGCAAATCAGTGTTCAGAAGGTGCACAGCCGCGTCCAAAAACATTTACCAGTCAGCTCGAACTGGGCCCTCTCTTAGCCTACCGGTATTCCAAATAGATGAAATGGTTTCAATTGGAGGGGACTTGTGGCTCAGCCTTCACTAGCAAGTTTGGCTCCACTTCCTTCCACGGACACCGCGATAGCCGAACACGTTACCGGTAATGCTTTGTAAAGATCGCGGTCGGGCGGGCGTTCGAGATCTGCCCATCTGTCCATCAAGTGTGTAGCCTCCTTCACGGCGTGGTTCTGTACGAGTACCGGTACTCGAGTACTCGAGCACTCGTACAAGTACAAGCAACAGATCTACGTCAGGGTCGAGAGAAAAAAAGGGCTGGCTTCAGTGGCCCAGGACATGTTTCGCGCTTAATTACCGAGTCAAGGGCAGTTGAGAGCACTATTTTTAGCCACCGCCAGCCCGTCCTTCTCTCGCGTTGCCACTCTCAACTCAATCACCCTCTCCAACCAACCGACCCATTGCTTGTCAGCACCTCTTTGGCTGAAAAATGTTCCCCCCACCCCGAGACTCGACAAAGGGATAAAGCGAAGCAAGTACCCCGGGTATCATATTCGCAGATGCATACCTGGTACATAACATCAGACAGAGTATACAACAAACAACTCTGCTGTTCTCACTCGGTTCACCTTTTTTTTTCTTTTCTCCCCCTCTCGCTCCCGTCTCGCTCCCGTCTGCCTCCACTGCACGCCCCGCTCTGATGGGAAGGGGGAAGAGGGAGAAAGGAAAGCCACACGAGCAGCACTTTGCTCAACAGTACTGTAATTGATCCGTGATGAAGTGGCTGGAAAACGCGCAGAGGAAATAAGGTACGGTACTCGTACAATACCCACCATCCCAATCGAGAAAAGACATGGGCGAGCGGGAAGGAAAGCTCCCTGCGGTAATTCCCCGCAGCCCGTCGTTACAGATAGGGGAGGGGAACTCAAGTTTTAGTGCAGCCGTGTACGAGTACCCTTCCCATGACAATATCACCAGCCGGGACGGGGATCGTGTCACCGTGTGGATATTGCCAGGGGCGGGCACCGCATATCGCGGATAAAGGTGTAAACTTGGACCTTTGAACGATACTATGGGAAACGGCGATGTAAAGGCTTCAAGAATATAGCGAATAGTTTTAGGAGCCTCCATTGTCCCCACAATTTTCTCCGAGTCTTTAGCCCAACCGCTGGGGTGGATGTCATCAGTATCGCCGCAGCCGGAATATCTTATTTTTAATCGCGCTTCATGGCTCAGCACACACCGCGCACCAAAATCGGGCGAAAAAGGAAAAAAGGGAGGAGCGTATCGTGCTTCCTTTCACCGGGCAAGAGTTCCAAGTAAAATTAGCGAATACTGAAAAAGGAATGAAAGAAAGAAAGAAAACGCACACTGCGCAAGATGGTCTTTTTCAAGTTGAAATCCTCCTGTCACGGGTATTCCAAATTTTCCTCGACATCATGTAACCCCCTAATAAGGATTGACAGAGCATATCTTCAAGAGTAACGGTGTTTTGGACCGAGTTTGTATGGATTAGTACCGGTCTCGAGCATAAGGATGCATACCGTAGCTATTAAGCACATCCCTGTCATGGACAGTAAAAGGTACGGTATTTTGACGTTTTCTCGAAGGCATTGCCTCTCCGCACTTGTATCATGGTCCGCTTACGGGAGCTAGCGACTAACTTATGGGTGTCTGGATTATCGATATCCTCGGACGTGAAATAAGCAGCGCAGAGCGGTAATCATAACACCGGTACCAAACACCAAATCTCAACTGAACCAAACCCCCTCGTTAGACTATCATTACGGCACCGGTACGGTATTTGTCAGTTCACATGATACCTGTGCAGCGCTCGTACTTTGATCTCCACTAATCGCCGTCGCTCCCGACTTCCAGCCTCCAAATAGCACAAAAGAAGAATAAAAAGGGAAAGATCCAGATCACGAGCCGGGAAAAGAAATGTGACCGATTGGTAGCCACGGCAACACAAATACCGGTACCGGACAAGAGAGAGTGAGAGAGAAAAATAAACTCTTTTGCTTTTAAAAGAAGCAAAGTGCACATTTGGTCACGCTTTTCCGCTGGCGCCAACCCCCTTCCAACCTCCACACTTTTCTTTCTTCCTTCCGCTCTCCACTACAGTACCTGCACTCTCGCCCGTCCGGACGCCACGGGTGGTGCGCGATTGTTGAGCCTCCTCGCTAACTGTACCTACCGACATATGAGTACCGGTACCTGAGCAACCAACCTTCAGCCTCCCATGTTATCTTCTATCTCTCTCGATAGGCTGTATCGTAGTGCAGATCCTATCCTGGTCTTCTGCTCCGGGGTACAGGAGGGGGCAGGAGGGGCTGGAGGGGCTGGGGGAGAGCGATAGAGCTTAGGTTTTTCCGAACTGGTTCGCGGGCTGCACCTTCCTGGCTTGGGCTTCACCGCTTAAGCATAACAGAGCACCGGTACCGGTAGTTAATGGGGGGGGGGGGGATGGGGATCGAAGCATAAGTCAAGTTACTCCCACGATCCCACCCAGTGATTTGCCTGCCCGTTCGCGTACTTCCTGGGGAAGTTACAGTATCGTGATAACGCCCTTTGAGGAGCGAGGGGCATCACCGTAACCCACCGGCTAACGGACGCTATTCGCATAACGAGGGTGAGTGCATAGCGTTGAATACTGCACAAGGAAAAATTTGGCAAGCGACGCCTCATATACCGGTATTCAAAAAAAAAAAAGGCTGTATCATACCGGTATGTCCTCAGGTAGGTTAAACCCTTTCCCTATCAACCACTCTAATGTGCATATCGTATCTGTTGTCCGTCTGTCCGTCTGTCCGCACGATGGTCTATTCACCGCACCTGTGATGTGTCGGGGCAAGTTGAATTCCCGGATTGTCCCCACACGGGTCCGTTTCTACCTCTCTGTGTGGATGGGTGGACCCACTCCACCATCACGGCCCATTATCCTAATATTCAGATCATACCCGGGCACCGGTACAAGTACACCGGCAGAGCATCCCCTAGCGTAGCGTAAGCCACAGCCACAACGCTCACAAACGCTCGTTTGTGGATTGGAATTCCCGTCGGCAATATCAAAGTCTAACCTTACCCTTTGCAACGGGGAAGCCATGACGAAAACCCGCGGGTCATGAGCAAGGGTGGACCACTGGACGGGCAAAAAAAGTGGATTCGTCAAAGCAGGGTAACAAAAGCACCCGCGATCATACCGTACCGTACTTGAGAATCCCGGTTCGTCCCCCACCGAAGAGTGCAATGCTGTTGCTTTGTCTGCACCACCTGATTGGTTGGGAAAAAAAAGAACAGATTTTTTGAAGAAGAAGAATAAGCTGTCGAATTGCCTCTTGCCAGCAGATGAGTTATACTAAGCCGTTGAAAGCTTATTTCGTATCCTTGGATACGATAGATAGAATACCAAAGTGCAGTTCTAAGTTTAACCCACAGGTATCATACGGCGCACTACAGTTACCGGTATTCCAACTAGGGCGTGGAACATGAACACGAACACGAACGGTGCGGAGATCCCGGATAGGTTATCTCGAAACCACTGAAAATCATACCGGTTGCCGTACCGAGTGGAAGTGACCGATTGCGTGCGTATCGCGTGACATGACCCCTTGCCGCCGTGGATTCGACTTTTCTTTCTTTCCTTTCTTTT